AGGATTAGTTGGAGACATGCACGGGTACTGAGACATGCACGGGTACTTGAGACCTGTCCTAACCCAGGATTAGTTGGAGAGACACGCACGGGTACTGGAGACCTGCCCTAGCCCAGGATTAGTTGGAGAGACATGCACGGGTACTGGAGACATGCACGGGTACTTGAGACCTGTCCTAACCCAGGATTAGTTGGAGAGACACGCACGGGTACTGGAGACCTGTCCTAACCCAGGATTAGTTGGAGAGACACGCACGGTTACTGGAGACCTGTCCTAACCCAGGATTAGTTGGAGAGACATGCACGGGTACTAGAGACATGCACGGGTACTTGAGACCTGTCCTAACCAAGGATTAGTTGGAGAGACACGCACGGGTACTGGAGACCTGCCCTAGCCCAGGATTAGTTGGAGAGACACGTACGGGTCCTGGAGACCTGCCCTAACCCAGGATTAGTTGGAGAGACACGCACGGTTACTGGAGACCTGTCCTAACCCAGGATTAGTTGGAGAGACACGCACGGGTACTGGAGACATGCACGGGTACTGGAGACCTGTCCTAGCCCAGGATTAGTTGGAGAGACACGTACGGGTCCTGGAGACCTGCCCTAACCCAGGATTAGTTGGAGAGACACGCACGGTTACTGGAGACCTGTCCTAACCCAGGATTAGTTGGAGAGACACGCACGGGTACTGGAGACATGCACGGGTACTGGAGACCTGTCCTAACCAAGGATTAGTTGGAGAGACACGCACGGGTACTGGAGACCTGCCGTAACCCTGGATTAGTTGGAGAGACACGCACGGTTACTGGAGACCTGTCCTAACCCAGGATTAGTTGGAGAGACATGCACGGGTACTAGAGACATGCACGGGTACTTGAGACCTGTCCTAACCAAGGATTAGTTGGAGAGACACGCACGGGTACTGGAGACCTGCCCTAGCCCAGGATTAGTTGGAGAGACATGCACGGGTACTGGAGACATGCACGGGTACTTGAGACCTGTCCTAACCCAGGATTAGTTGGAGAGACACGCACGGGTACTGGAGACCTGCCCTAGTCCAGGATTAGTTGGAGAGACATGCACGGGTACTGGAGACCTGCCCTAACCCAGGATTAGTTGGAGAGACACGCACGGTTACCGGAGACCTGTCCTAACCCAGGATTAGTTGGAGAGACATGCACGGGTACTAGAGACATGCACGGGTACTTGAGACCTGTCCTAACCAAGGATTAGTTGGAGAGACACGCACGGGTACTGGAGACCTGCCCTAGCCCAGGATTAGTTCGAGACACAGGCACGGGTACTGGAGACCTGCCCTAACCCAGGATTAGTTGGAGAGACACGCACGGTTACTGGAGACCTGTCCTAATCCAGGATTAGTTGGAGAGACACGCACGGGTACTGGAGACCTGCCCTATACCAGCATTAGTTGGAGAGACATGCACGGGTACTAGAGACATGCACGGGTACTGGAGACCTGTCCTAACCAAGGATTAGTTGGAGAGACACGCACGGGTACTGGAGACCTGCCGTAACCCTGGATTAGTTGGAGAGACACGCACGGTTACTGGAGACCTGTCCTAACCCAGGATTAGTTGGAGAGACATGCACGGGTACTAGAGACATGCACGGGTACTTGAGACCTGTACTAACCAAGGATTAGTTGGAGAGACACGCACGGGTACTGGAGACCTGCCCTAGCCCAGGATTAGTTGGAGAGACATGCACGGGTACTAGAGACATGCACGGGTACTGGAGACCTGTCCTAACCCAGGATTAGTTGGAGAGACACGCACGGGTACTGGAGACCTGCCCTAGCCCAGGATTAGTTGGAGAGACATGCACGGGTACTGGAGACATGCACAGGTACTTGAGACCTGTCCTAACCCAGGATTAGTTGGAGAGACACGCACGGGTACTGGAGACCTGCCCTAGTCCAGGATTAGTTGGAGAGACATGCACGGGTACTGGAGACCTGCCCTAACCCAGGATTAGTTGGAGAGACACGCACGGTTACCGGAGACCTGTCCCTAACCCAGGATTAGTTGGAGAGACATGCACGGGTACTAGAGACATGCACGGGTACTTGAGACCTGTCCTAACCAAGGATTAGTTGGAGAGACACGCACGGGTACTGGAGACCTGCCCTAGCCCAGGATTAGTTCGAGACACAGGCACGGGTACTGGAGACCTGCCCTAACCCAGGATTAGTTGGAGAGACACGCACACGTTACTGGAGACCTGTCCTAATCCAGGATTAGTTGGAGAGACACGCACGGGTACTGGAGACCTGCCCTATACCAGCATTAGTTGGAGAGACATGCACGGGTACTAGAGACATGCACGGGTACTGGAGACCTGTCCTAACCAAGGATTAGTTGGAGAGACACGCACGGGTACTGGAGACCTGCCGTAACCCTGGATTAGTTGGAGAGACACGCACGGTTACTGGAGACCTGTCCTAACCCAGGATTAGTTGGAGAGACATGCACGGGTACTAGAGACATGCACGGGTACTTGAGACCTGTACTAACCAAGGATTAGTTGGAGAGACACGCACGGGTACTGGAGACCTGCCCTAGCCCAGGATTAGTTGGAGAGACATGCACGGGTACTGGAGACATGCACGGGTACTGGAGACCTGTCCTAGCCAAGGATTAGTTGGAGAGACACGCACGGGTACTGGAGACCTGCCCTAGCCCAGGATTAGTTGGAGAGACATGCACGGGTACTTGAGACATGCACGGGTACTTGAGACCTGTCCTAACCCAGGATTAGTTGGAGAGACACGCACGGGTACTGGAGACCTGCCCTAGCCCAGGATTAGTTGGAGAGACATGCACGGGTACTGGAGACCTGCCCTAACCCAGGATTAGTTGGAGAGACACGCACGGTTACCGGAGACCTGTCCTAACCAAGGATTAGTTGGAGAGACACGCACGGGTACTGGAGACCTGCCCTAACCCAGCATTAGTTGGAGAGACATGCACGGGTACTAGAGACATGCACGGATACTGGAGACCTTCCCTAACCCAGGAATAGTTGGAGAGACATGCACGGGTACTGGAGACCTGCCCTAGCCCAGGAATAGTTGGAGAGACATGCACGGGTACTGGAGACCTGCCCTAACCCAGGATTAGTTGGAGAGACACGCACAGGTACTGGAGACCTGCCCTAACCCAGGTTTAGTTGGAGAGACACGCGCGGGTCCTTGGGACCTGACCTAACCCAGGTTTAGTTGGAGAGACATGCACGGGTACTGGAGACCTGCCCTAACCCAGGATTAGTTGGAGAGGCACGCACGGTTACTCGGACCTGCCCTAACCCAGGATTAGTTGGAGAGACATGCACGGGTACTAGAGACATGCACGGGTACTTGAGACCTGTCCTAACCAAGGATTAGTTGGAGAGACACGCACGGGCACTGGAGACCTGCCCTAGCCCAGGATTAGTTGGAGAGACAGGCACGGGTACTGGAGACCTGCCCTAACCCAGGATTAGTTGGAGAGACACGGACGGTTACTCGAGACCTGTCCTAACCCAGGATTAGTTGGAGAGACACGCACGGGTACTGGAGACCTGCCGTAACCCTGGATTAGTTGGAGAGACACGCACGGTTACTGGAGACCTGTCCTAACCCAGGATTAGTTGGAGAGACATGCACGGGTACTAGAGACATGCACGGGTACTTGAGACCTGTCCTAACCAAGGATTAGTTGGAGAGACATGCACGGGTACTGGAGACATGCACGGGTACTCGAGACCTGTCCTAACCCAGGATTAGTTGGAGAGACATGCACGGGTACTGGAGACATGCACGGGTACTCGAGACCTGTCCTAACCAAGGATTAGTTGGAGAGACACGCACGGGTACTGGAGACCTGCCCTAGCCCAGGATTAGTTGGAGAGACATGCACGGGTACTGGAGACATGCACGGGTACTTGAGACCTGTCCTAACCCAGGATTAGTTGAAGAGACACGCACGGGTACTGGAGACCTGCCCTAACCCAGGATTAGTTGGAGAGACACGCACGGTTACCGGAGACCTGTCCTAACCAAGGATAAGTTGGAGAGACACGCACGGGTACTGGAGACCTGCCCTAACCCAGCATTAGTTTGAGAGACATGCACGGGTACTAGAGACATGCACGGATACTGGAGACCTGTGCTAACCAAGGATTAGTTGGAGAGACACGCATGGGTACTGGAGACCTGCCCTAGCCCAGGATTAGTTGGAGAGACATGCACGGGTACTGGAGACCTGCCCTAACTCAGGATTAGTTGGAGAGGCACGCACGGTTACTCGGGACCTGCCCTAACCCAGGATTAGTTGGAGAGACACGCACGGGTCCTTGGGACCTGACCTAACCAAGGTTTAGTTGGAGACACACGCACGGTTACTCGGGACCTGCCCTAACCCAGGTTTAGTTGGAGACACCCGCACGGGTACTTGGGGTATGCCCTAACCCAGGTTTAGACCATACCTGCTTTGTTTTGATGCGTGGTCTAACCAACTTAAATTTCAATTAGAAAACCTACTTTTTCCAAGCATAGTTCCTTGTGTCTGGAAACCGACTGCGTGTATGTTCTACTTCTTGTTATACAGGTAGCACTTAAATGAGACAACTGACCAGAACTATACTAAGCAGCAAAAGAAACGTTAGTTTGGAATTTTCATTCTCAGAAATGGATAATTGTAAACTCATTTCATGTTTTGATTGTATATTTTGACAACATCTCCAACTTCACCTGAGAAAAGACATTCTTTCCCAAACTCAGAATGGAACCCAGGAAATGGTCTCAAAAACGGAACCTGATCTCGGAGATGGTACGGTGTTCTCCATGTTTTTCATGCAACTCATGCTGCACGTGCTGTTCACAAGGAACAGCCCTATAAAATGCACCCCAAACCTGGTTGAAACATTCACATTACAACGTAAGCAGGATGCCGCGACTCACAACAGCTCAGAGGAACCAGGCGCTAGGAAGACTTGAAGCTGGACACACTGCACAGGCCGTTGCCAATCACTTCCAGGTCAACGTTCGGACCATCTACAGGCTGCAGCAACGTTTCCAGGCCACCAACACCACAAATGATCGCCCCCGTACTGGCAGACCAAGGGTGACCACAAGAAAAGACCGCCGTGTTGTGCGACAGCATGTACAGAATCCCTTCATGCAGGCATCCGAAACAGCACGCCAGACAGTGGGAACACACGGAAGACCAATCAGTACTGATACAGTACGCCGACGTCTTAACAGCGGGAACCCCCATTGCCATAGACCTTACCGTGGACCTATCCTTACCCCTCGTCATCGGCGTGAACGTCTACAGTTTGCCCTACAACACCAAAACTGGCGATACAGGCAATGGATAACTGTTCTGTTCACAGATGAGAGTCGGTACTGCGTATCAACTGCAGATGGCAGAACAAGAATATGGCGACGACGTGGCCAGCGTTACTCAGACCAATGTGTTATTGAAAGAGGCTCATGGGGAGGTGCAAGCATCATGGTATGGGGTGGAATAGGCCTGAACCAGAGAGTGGGTCCTGTGGTGTTCCAGAACCTTGGTCCAGGCTGAGGAGGGGGCATCACAGCGGTGCGCTACATCGACCAAGTTCTCAGACCCCACGTCATACCCCATTTCGCACGTCACCGGAACAACATTTTCCAGCATGATAACGCCCGGTCCCATACTGCCAGAGCTACACGGGAGTTCCTACAGCAGAACGGTGTCAACATTATGCAGTGGCAAGCCCTGATCTAAACCCAATTGAACATCTTTGGGATGAAGTTTTCAGCGGAGACTGAATAATGTCATACCAAGGCCGAACACAGCCGATTTATTACGCCAGGCCTTTTTCACAGTGTGGTTCCAGGTGCCAATGGCCTTCATCAATTGACTGGTGCACTCCATGCATAGACGCTGTGCTGCAGTTATTGCCGCTCGTGGTGGTCACACTAGATACTGAAGTGACTGCAAACGTAAACGTAATGTCTTGAAATTGTCATTCATTGATGTGTCAAGATATTGTAAACAAAAAATGGTTTTGATCCGCTTATTATGTCCATTTCTGTAATGATTTGATTACAGTGCCTATCTAATTTTGAATTCGTACTGACGTTTTTTTCTGCTGAGTATAGAATCTGAAGAAAAACAACAGATATAGTGATTACCTCTTTATTCACGTTTACAGTCAATTTGACAGGGCTTAATTCATTGAACAATTAGGGGGCCACTTGAAGCTTAATCTTAACCATGTGACTTGAAGTTGAAGCTGAATTCCAGCTGGACAGGTCGAGATCCTCCGGCATCCATCGCCGCACACTTTCTCGTTCCTGTCGATGGTGAAGTCGCAGAACTTGTCATTGTACGCTTGCGTAAACCCTGCACAGTCTTGCTTACGTCTTCCTCCTGCTGGTCACTTGTCCTCTTGTATGACCTGATAGCGAAACTGACTGGGCATCGTAGTAACGCTATCAACTGCTCATCAACTCCTGACTGGTAGAGGCGTGTAGCACACGTCGCACGCGTAAAAACCTACAAAATAAGCAGATGTTATTTCCTGTTTGAGTGATCACTACTAAGTAACATCTTTCCCTAATACAACATAAAACGTGATAAAAGTAAATAATGAATCAAATGACGCGTTTGATTTGGTAATCAGATAAGGCCTTTTATTTCCCTAGAATCTATTCAGTTTATGTTTTTGCCCTCACATAGCGGTAAGAGTTCCTCCCGTTCCCCCATCCCAAATAATATTTATAAATTAATATATATGAAATTATTAACAAAACTTAACACAACAATTACTAGAGAACTCACGAAAATGAATAAAAGTCCAAACTTTAAGTTAGGGTTGGAGTTAGGTTTAGGGTTGGGGGAACGGAAGAAACTCTTTCCTTTAATTATATTTCAAGAGTGGATTAAATTGTTGAAAATTTCATATTTTTATTTACTGTTTTGAAATTTCATTATTTAAACAATACAGTGTACTCACCAGTAAATCCAGCAGCTACACACAATCGACTCAGAGTCTTCGTTAGAGTATTTTGACCAATGGGACTGCAGGAGTACCAAGTTTCTTGCCGGGGTTTCACTAACGGACGGAAGTAGAAGGCATCTGGGGCGTCAGAAGGTCATAGACTCAAGTATCTTCGGTACAAACTCACAAGACACTTGTTAGGGTCATTACTACCGTATGCAGTAACAGACTTCGGTGAAACTCCTACATCCTTCAGCCCTCTGATTACATTTACTGATGCATTCGGTGTAACGGAAATAATCTCCTAGATTATTCGATCCGAATTCGACCTGGTCGACTCTCAACATTCTATGTTCAGAGCCCGACCGCAGTGCAAAATTTAGTCCAACTAAATACACCATCGTATCCAATAGTGTTTAAGGGCTTGTTGATCCTAGAATTCCCTTTTCCCACAGGATCTGTTCCTCTTGCACGGTAATGACGCCAGCCTGACGTGAGCCCAATCCCATGCCTTTGCTTGCCCTGTCTCTCATAAGATTGTCCAGAGTGATTCGAACCTCCGTATACACTGTGTCGGAAAGAAATTGGACATCACGATTGTTATTGTTCAACTACATCTGTATGAGCAAAACAAGTTGACGAAGAGTCTTAGGTGGATAATCCGTACCATCCTACTTCCGAACCTCGAGGATAAACCGGCACATACAATATTTCAGTTCATCATCATTCAAATCCAATAGTTTATTGGTAATCAAACTAAGACGCTTACCCGATGTATCTCCTCCGAAAATTTTTGAATTCCTTGAACAGCGCCAGTCTTCGAACAGTCGACATGCCCATTCAATATTCTTACGAGTTTTGTCCGGTACAAACTTCTGTTTTATTTCATCCACAACATCGTCGGATTTTGGCTTGGCAAATCTGTCAGAGTATATTCAGCCTCAAACTTTTGAGACGCACTGTATAAAATTTCGTCTTCGCTCGACGAGAAGTCAAATGAGTTATCAGTTTTGAGGAAATCGGTCTCAAAATCACTGATATCGCTGTACTGGGGCAAGTAAGTAGACTCTTTGCAATAATCTCCAAATCCTCCATTTTCATAAACTTTGTTTGTGAACAGGGAATGTCTTCGTCCGAACTGTTCATATTGCTGCTTCCAAATGCTTCCCCCAAACTGACCATGTCCTTTCGAACTACATATGTCTTCGGTGTCGCCGAGACACTGCACGTGCAGCACGTGATTTCAAATGCACACGACATGTGTGAGCCTCATAGCTCTCCTGCACAAAGAGACACTTTTAACTGATGTGTGTGTTTTGCCACAATATAGTTCACGCGAAAAGTATCAATATTACTTTATTAAATAATTCGTGACATATGCGTATTATTTGACAATAGTCTAAGTAAGTTAGATCATTCGGGCCTTGTTGTCTAATGGTTGAAATGGTTCACTTCAACCATTAGACAACAGGCCCTCATGATCTAGCTATTACTTTGTTTGAGAGACACGCACGGGTACTGGAGACCAGTCCTAACCCAGGATTAGTTGGAGAGACACGCACGGGTACTGGAGACCTGCCCTTACCCAGCATTAGTTGGAGAGACATGCACGGGTACTAGAGACATGCACGGGTACTGGAGACCTGCCCTAACCCAGGATTAGTTGATTAGTATGCCCTAACCCAGGATTAGGTACTGGAGACCTGCCCTGTCCTAACCCAGGATCTGTCAATGTGTCAATGTACGCATCACTGATAGCCATTGGATTATTGCTATTGCCTTTGCAGCCAAGTCATGTCTGAGTTTGAATTATGAAACCGGCATAGCTAGCTAAACAACAGTAAAAATATCGTTCTCACTCTATTGTAGGCAGCATTTATTAAATAAGAATTAAAATCTCTTTAATCGAATGTGTCAGCAGTGTTCGGCGTGGATGCCTTGATTCCCCGTACCCCGCCCTGTGTATTAGACAGCTCATGTTTACCCTGTTTTGTCACACAGGGCTGAGATATGGCGGAGCGCTGATCGCCCAACCATTTTACCATATATCTGTGTATGGTTGAGAGGCCACGCCCTGTCGTTATGAAGACAGTGATCTCGCCTTCCACAGGTATGTTGCTTTAACTTCACAACATTCGGAAGTTCAGACTGATGACATCGGAAAAACTTACACTGTCATCTAAACATCGGGACGAAAGGAATGTTCACTTGAAATAGGATGGGAAAACATCACAAATCTAATCAAAACGCAACTAGGTTGAAAGCAGTCCCCAAAACACATCATATTTGGAAAAATATTACTTAGGTAGGACTAAACATTCCTTGTCTCGATTTTTAGCAACCTTCAAATAGGGACGTATACTTTCTTTTTAAATAAATAAATAAATAAACTAATAAATAAATAAATAAATAAAGTAAATAAATAAATAAATAAATAAATAAATAAATAAATAAATAAATAAATAAATAAATAAATAAATAAATAAAGAAAGAAAGAAAGAAAGAAAGAAAGAAAGAAAGAAATAAAGGCGAACTGTCCAGATGAGGTCAAGGCGCTACCATGTATCACTGATTTCTCATACTTTCAATTTACAGACGGGGCGCTGGGGTAGCCTAGTGGTACAATGTGTGAAGCCCATTTCCGGTGTCCCTCGCCTTGATATTGCTGGAATATTGCTAAAAGCGGCGTAAAACCATTCTCACTCACTCAATTCGTAGACCTACTGATAGTTGCAAGGAACTACACCCTCAACCTTCTATGTAATCACACATTTAACTTTCTACATTGTTCTATGTCCACAAATGCATAATATACATACACAAACTTGATTCTGTAAGCCACGATGCAAATCTATCATAGATTTTGAGAGCACCATAAAGGGGAAAAAAACTTATGTGCTGTCAGTCCTAAGGAACAACGGAGGGATGGCACAGAATTATGGCTCGCCTAGTCAGACAGGGCAAACCAATCGAGCACACCCTCAATGAGAACAGGATATAGGCAACTTCAAGATGTCTCG